GGAAACTCTGAAGACCTGTTTTTAATAACCTTTATAGCAGCTTCCCTTGAGAAGTATTCTGTCACCAGTCTAAATATTTAAAATTGTACTTACCGTCCTTGTTTTTAGAGAAATACTTTAATGAAGCAAAATAGGTAATGACTCGCAAACCACTGGTTGTCACAGAAGCAGGACTTTGGAGATCATTAGAAGAAATAGAGAACCACTTATGCAAAAGGTCCTCATCTACAGGATTTTGGATCCTGTCCTGTAATGCCTCCCGGCTGTCAGAAATTCAGGAAATCCATGGAGTATAGGATTGGTGTTTTCTAAGACCTAATAATACCAGATTTCCCAAGACTCCTTTTTATAAGGACAAGTAAGTCCTCTCCTTTCTCCTGGCTCTACTTTATCCATTGAATTATTTTCTTAGTTTTTAAATAAACAATGAATATATATATAAATATGTATTTGCTGAAAATATATATTCTTTATTATATACATAATAAATACATTATGTACATAATAAAGAACCATAAGGGCCAACTAGCCATAGAAAATAAATTATGAAATAAAATATATTCCTTTACCAACATTACAAAAATTGTGTGGTAAAGTTTTGTAATTAAATGGTGTGTGACAAGCTGAAACAAAATGCATCTAGTTTGTGGAGTTGGTTGTTCTGGAGAAAAGGGAAAATGTTAAGTGTTTGACTTCATGTCTCCATATTTCTACTTTTTTTTTCCCCCCCTCTTTTCAACCCTGTCTAAATTATCAGTACCAAATTTACAAGCGTACATAACAAAATTAAGCACTCCTTATGAAAAGCCCAGACTTCCAGAATAAGAAAGTACACAATGCAGCATAAGGGGAAGGCTGTCAGAGGAAGACTATCAGTTTTGTGAGAAATGCAAGAGATTAAAAAGCTCATGAAATACTTTAGATTTGTATAAAATAAAAATTGAGCCTCTGATCCTGCTATTAGAGATACTAAATCTGACACATTGTATGTTCTTCTTTCTACTGTTTCTCTCACTTGCCATGCCTTTGCTTCTTGGGTGTTTGTTCATATAAAACTGCAAGCAAGAAAAAACAACAGGCTTTACCTTAAACCAGTAACGTACCTAGATAAAGCTCAAGTCCTGCAGAAATTGAAACCATTCTGGGAATGCTGGGAAATCCACTCTCAGTGTTACAGCTATTAGTATCCATTCAATGGTTTCAGTCCCGGATTCAGGAAAATTTCCCTATTTGTGCCAGTCATAAGGGTAAGTTTCATTGTGTCATTGCTTAAAGTTAGCTATTTTCAGAACTTGCTTGGCTCAATAAGGTTATCAAAGCAGATAGTTAAGCGCTTTCCCAGTTACAGTCTTTTCTTTCTTTCCTTCTTTCCTTCTTTTCTTCTTTTCTTCTTTCCTTCTTTCCTTCTTTCCTTCTTTCCTTCTATCTTTCCTATTTTCCTTTTCTTTCTTTCTTTCTTTCTTTCTTTCTCTCTTTCTTTCTTTCTTTCTTTCTTTTTCTCTCTCTCTTCCTCTCTTTTCTTCCTTTCTTCCTTTATTTCCCATAAACGTGGCTATGTTTCCTTCCATTCATAATATTCTTGTCAGAACATAATTTCTTTGTTTCTAAAATTTTTACCTTTCTGTCTAATAACCTGTATTTTACTAATGATTCACTGGTTTGTACCTACTACTACAGCTTAAATAGTCCCATCATAAACCAGGTGTTACTGTTCCTGTCTAAAAATAGTAATTCCTCTTAAATGCAGCCAGCCAGTTTTGTGTGTATCCGATGAATCGAAGTACACCCTGAGCAGGAGTTCTGCTGGGTTTGGGAGGGTTTCAGGATCTTTCAGCTCGGGTGGAAATCATTAGATTTTTTTCAGAAATATTGTTTGCTGAATGAGAGTAACTTTGCTCTTTGAAGTTGCCTAACTTATGCTTTAACCACCCTTTTTTTTTCTAATTTTTTACAAAGTTACAGCTATGCTTTACTACCCAAAGTGTTATGTGAAAGAGTGTATGTATGTAGTCTGTTTCAGTAAGGTTCGTTAGAATAGGCTTGAATTTAATGAAATGAATAATCCCATTCTGAAAGCAAAGAATTCAAGAATACAAACATTTCAAGGTGGACTTCAAGGGAAGAAAATGGTGAGCTTGAAGTTAAGTTTATCCTTCAAAATTTTGCTGAACTGGGGCCCTAGCACAAGCTTCATGCTGCCAAAACCTGCCAAGCTGTCCAGACCTGAATCCCAAAGCACATTTTGGCAGCTCAGACCATCATCGCTTTCCACCTGAGGATCAAGATTTACCCAGAACTCATATTTTGAACCCCAAATTTCACCACATAGACAGGTCTAGGCACACAGGTATATGCAGAAGCAGCTTCCTTTGAGGAGTCAGGAGCTATGCTCCTACCTACACTTAACACAACAGACCCAGAGCAAGAAAGTGCCTACATGAGGAAGCAGAACGGAAAGTTATTGGAGGCCATTAACTTTCCTCTTTTTCCTCTTTTTTTTAAGCAGTCTCCATCTATTACTGACTTAAACATCCCTGGCATTCCTATTATATTTGTATCCCTACAGCCCCCCTTCCTCCCAGAAGTCAAACTCTGCCTGTGGCCATATCTCCCCAGTGCTGCAGGACATTGTAACCTCCCCTGATGTGGCTTAACTTGCATTAACTGCACTTGCCCAGCACAGAGCAGCAGCCTGGGAGTTTTTATCCAAAACCATAGCTGGAGGACCAACTGCATACCATATGTACAAATCCTAGTGGTTTGGTTTTTAGAGCCACAGAAGACTTGAGGTCAAATCTCTTTTCACTCTAAACTCATCCAGATTGTTGATAAAGATATTAAAGAGAGCTGTTCCCAGCACCGAGCCCTGGGGGACACCACTTGTGACTAGACACCAACTGGATTTAACTCCATTCGCCACCACGCTCTGGGCATAGCCATTCAGCCAGTTTTTTACCCAGCGAAGAGTACACCTGTCCAGGCCATGAGCAGTCGGTTTCTCCAGGAGAATGCTGTGGGAAACAGTGTCAAAAGCTTTGCTAAAATCCTAATAGATAACATGCATAGCTCTTCCCTCATCCACTAAGCGGGTCCCCTTGTCACAGAAGGAGATCAGGTTTTTCTGACACTGTAACTTCCACTTCACAGAAGAAAATCCAAGTTGCCAGGCTATGTGAAGGAAAACTGACCACTCTTCTTTCCCATGACGAGCAGAAGAGTAGCAAGAAGCAGAGCAAGTGAAAGATGGTGTGATGTGGCAACATCATAAATGAGGACATGCAGAAATGAGCAGCACGGGTTCAGATTCTCATTTGCCTAGATAATTTGGGGGTTTTATTCACCAAGTGAAATACAACAACTAAATGATTGCATTAACTGGAGCTGCATTAAATGTCTGAATTAGAATATATTATTTTAAGAGAATATAACTACAAGTGGTAATCTAAGTATAACCGCAACCACGCAATATGTGTAATTGAAATAGAGCACCGTGTTGGCAAAACATGAGACTGTTTCCGAGCAATAAGCCGCATGGATCAAGTAAGCAGCAATTGTAAAGCTTTTGCATTAACTTTCTGAAGCTCCTATCGCAGTTTGTAGAGGAGAAGGCAGTCTCACTGAAGACAGCTCAGATAAGTGTTTCTTGAAGAATGGCATGTTGTTCCCAACTCTCTTGTCTAATTAAAGACCCAAAAATATTATTCCACTGAAGTTGATGGCAGTACTTACTTGGCATCAAAGGGAATCAAGATTTGCCATTCTTTTATGAAGAATTATTTTTATCGTATGATTAAAAACAAGCAAAGCAATTCACAATGCATTACGTGGTAGCAATTTTGCCTCTAGATGATGGCAGACTCCAATTCTGTAGCGCCTCAGAAGTCCCACCTGAAGCCAAGAGATCAGCTCAATACTGAGGTTGCAGTATTTGAACGAAGTTACAGTCACCTCCAGACATACCAGCTCTGACTGGAACCCTGTCCTCCTATGCAACTGGCAAACGTGCTAGAAGACTGAGGAGCTTACAAACTAAATAGACAAGGATAAAAGATCTTTGTTGTGCAGATAAGACTTGAGGCAAGTGCAGACTGGTCTACCTGGAGTCACGCAGTTGAGCTTCAGTAAAACAAGGGAAAGATTCCCAGGTTCATCGCTGCAAATCCAGAGGGATTATTTGGATGCAGATGGCGCTTTGACCTTCATGATAAAAAATTTTGGTTGGATCTCCTGGCTTTATGCTATCTTACGTCATCTCTAAATAAAGAGAAAACAACAGAGTGAAAAATTTCCTTTTTCCAAATTCTGTGCCTAGTGCTTTGTTTTATCAAAGACTTTAACTGAAGCTAGCTTACAAGAAGGGCATAAGCTCTTCATGAGTGAAGGAACTGTGAAAAATTAGGGATCACACCTGAGTCTGGGAAGTCTTTGCTCCCAAATAAGTGGGAAAATGGGAAAGAGCCATAACTTTGAAATCACTATGATATTGATTGATTACCATTCTGTGGGTGAAATGCTGAGTGATAACATCTCTAGGAGATCTATGGCCAGTGGAAATTCAATCAAATAGGACAAAATTTTCTTTCCCAACAAAATATGTTATAACTTGGATTATTGGCAAGGAAATATTTTTGCACAGTCTATTTAGAGTTGCTGCTCTATAGATATCTGCTACTTCAGTCCTAGTCTGTTAAGATAACTCTAAACGAAAGGTCCTGTGTGAAACCAAACTCTAGACTGTATTTTGTATTTTAATGAGGATTCTTTCACAAAATATTCCATTATGGCTAATGAGATATTAGCAACGAATGCGCTAGAAAGGACAGATGGGAAGATAGTCAACTGTCTAAATCAGAAGATTTTCAAAGTGCAGCAAACAAACTATTAAACACACTTCTCTAGCTTAGTGCCAACCTATACTATAGGGAACTGGTCAAAGAGTGGATCATGAAAAGCTTTTTGGGAGCAGCTAAATTCTACAGCTGTGGTCTTTGTTTTTCTAGTACTTTGCAAGAACAGAAGGGGGAATTACGAAAGCGTCTATCGTACACTACCCATAAGCTGGAAATGCTTGAAACGGAATTTGATTCTACACGTCAGTATCTTGAAATAGAATTGAGACGTGCTCAGGAGGAACTTGAAAAAGTAACTGAAAAACTGAGAAGGTTAGTAACTAACTTTTTGAAATAAACAGAGTTATTAGGGATTTACAAGTGGCTGTGTTAAAGACGTAAGTAAAAATACAAGCATATAATCTCAAACATACATAATTTGTTATTTATTGATTACATGTGTTTTCACATTGAATATATATATTTCATTTATCTGAATAAGTATTACATACCACATTTTTATATATTTACATATTTACATGTGGTATATAAGATGCCTCTGTATTGAAAGTAAATATGCAAATAGAAATATACCTATATAGATGCATATATTACATTGTTTATGTGTAAACATACATGTGGGTTAGTGCCACATTGTGTTACACATAAAAAGGTTGTAAACACACTACCTATACATACTTACATATATAAATGTTTTTTAATGAGCTTGACTGGATATTTTCTGTTGTTACTCTATGTTGCATGGTTACAAGAGAACAGAATTTGGCCCTCCATCACTCAAAACTAAGACTGTTCAATTCAAATAATATTATGACATTTCACATTATGCTATAGCAAATTGTTTGCTTTTTAGTCCCAAGTAGAATGGAATGATACTGTAAACCTGTTATTTAAAATTGTTGAAGCTGTGGTACAGTGCTATTGCAAATCAGGGGCCCAGTTAATGTTAATGACAAATTATAATAAGCATGCACTCCTGACATTCCTGGCACTGATTTAAATGGTCTGTAATCTAGCTTTAAATTTATCAGTGCTTCTTAATATCCATTTTTTCATTTGTTTGCAAAACTTCTGAACCTACAATTATCCATTTCTGCAGGAACATATTTGCATTTCTTGTGCGGACTTTCCTAAACCGATGTATATAATTGAACTGTTTGATTTAGTTCACTGGATGAGTCAAAACAAAATTCAGAACGAATCATTCCAGGGCTATACCCAAAGAAATATCTTTCATTCCTTGCAGAAGGCAAAAACCAAACCAAAACAAAGCCAGAAACCACCAACAAACTCAGTCAACCAAACCATTTTATGTAGATTTTGAACAGAATGAGGCTGTAAGACCTCAAATTAGGAGGCCTAGTGTGGCCTTATAATTTAAAATGCTTCCCTAGCTGGGCAGGCATCTTAATACAAGGCTAAAATAAGCAGGTGTCATAATGGTCTTGAAATCAACACGCATCTATCAACAGCACTCTGGAGGCTCTCCATATTGTTTTCTTTCCAACAATATTTTTCCTATCACTTGACTTAGAGCAGAGCTATTGAAAGTAACTTCACTCTTGACGTAGTTTTGCTCCAATACATTACAGGACAGGGAACTCTGGTACTCTTTTCTTTTGAAGCATTATTTCAGGCACAGCTGCCATAAATCAGCTGAGGGGTTGACCATCCCACATCTGTTAAAACAAAGGGGGTTCCTAGTCTGTAGGAGGTCTCTTATCAACTTCATTGGGCACTGATGAGTGAAGGACCCTTCAAAACTCAGGCCAGGTAGTTTTTCTTTGCTCATGGCAAGGTCTAGCCCTCATACCCAAACATCAGATTAGTAGAAATTATTTTCCAATATTCTAATGGAACATTGTACCCTATTATGAAGAAAACTTATATTAAAAATTATGTTTCAGGCAGGTGATTACTCCCCTGAAGACATATCATAATGGAAGCCCAAAATATTTTACAAGGTGAGCTTTAAAAATGTTTCTATTGAGAATAGCAAGGCATACCGCAAGTTGAACAATTAGATTTCTCAACCTGGAGAAGGATAATGTCTGAAACAAAACTGTCATCCAAAAGCATGTCAGCAACATGTCACAGAGGAAAATCAATGTGAAAAAAACAAGAAACTAGAATTAGATTCAGTAATGTGTCTCTTGCTTTATTGACTGCACAGGGAGAGAAATTCAACCCCCCCTAATAAATAAGCCCTGTGTAACAACATCCCACTTGCATTCTAGAGAACATTTCTGTTATTAAACTTCCATTACTGTAAAGTGCTGAAGTTTTCTGAGAGGCTGAATGGCCATCCTTTTCCACTCCTTTCTGAAAGCCTTTATTGTCTTAATTTATCCAGAATTACCTGTGTTGCTGTTAGGCCCCCTCTCTTTTACCCAAGCAAGGAAGCCACTTCTGTGGCTTGATGGTCAAGATTTTGACTTCTCTACAAACATTTAGAGGTGGCCTTTTTCTTTTTTCCTGGTGGGAGCAAAAGCAGAACAGTGCTGAGTAGGTTTGAAAATATTAACTGTAAAGCATAGTTTCAGCTTTGAAAAGTGACTGAAAATAGATTAGGGATTTCATATACCTCACAGCAGTCCCCTATCTGATGTGATCAGCATGTTTTTTTTTAAGTTAAAATTGAAAAAAAATTTCAAATACCAATCTTGGAACCAAAACTGGACTCCAAAGTTCATGTTGGGTTTCCTCCTTGAGACCCTACCCTGGGTAACAACTTGGTGAGGTCCCCATCCTAGCTTTTACCAGAGAGTAGAGTTATTTTAAGACACGAGAAACAAAGCCATACAAGCATATATTTAGCACTGAGATTACCCACACACACATAATTGTTTCACCAAAAGCAAGACATTTAATGGACTGAAGGGTTGTTCTGAGCAGGAATCCTGAAGCTGTGTTAGCTTTGGAATAAAAGGGGGGAAAACTTGTTTTCATAATGAAGTCGGTGTAACTTGTGATAACAGAGAGGGAAAAGGTTTTTTGAACTAGAAGTTACTATTTTAACAGTCACTCTTCAAAGCTAAACTGCACTCTGAGTGAAATTCTCTTCTTTAGAGAAAGTCAGCCTAAACCTGTGTTTTACTTTAGATATATGTCATGGCCTTGTGAGGGACCTAGTAATGTGAACAACACAAAAAGCCATCAGAAAATGATAATAAGTTATCAATTCACAGGAGTTTATTCTTATAGCAGGTTCACAGGGTAGTGAAGCTGACCTACTCTTTGCTTTATTTACAGAGGAGCCAGATTTACAAAATTCAAGTGTTTCATACTTCACAACGCTCAAGCTATCTGGGTGCAGGGTTGCTCATATGACCATTTTCAAATTCGAATAATTTTCCCTTCTCCTCCTTCATTTTACAGTGTTGCCCAAAGATTGATTTGATTACTCTGTTCCTGTTTTATCCCTTTAACACTTTCTTCCATATATTTCTGGGTCCATTTCTCTCCTTGCCACCCACATTTGCTGACACTTCTTTTGGCACAGTGGATTTCCAATTTGGGTTTTATGCATATATGTGCATGTGTATGTGCTTGTGTATGTGTGCATGTGTTTGTGCTTATTTTGACTACCTTTGCATACTGTTCTCAATAGAAACACATTTTGAAGCTCAGCTTCCTACTTACTGTGGGGTTTTGGTCTAGAGATTGAATTTCATTTTACTGGGAAGTGGTCCATTTTTTCAGTGCAAAATGAATGTGTTAGAGAACTAGGGCTTGTGGGCTACTTTCTCCCAAAAGTACAACAGAGGAATATTTGATGGGCGAAACCGAAAGAAGTTACGAGCAGAGAAGCAGATTGTAATAATGTTTTGCAAAAACCCTCTACCATCTTTGGCATGGAAGTGTTGCCATCCAAGAGCAATTATGTTAATGATAACCATCTTCCAGTCATCCATATAAAGACAAAAAGTGTCAACATGATCCAGTGATGCACTGCCACCTTCATAAGCCAGATATCCAAGCAGCAATTACTACTGGTTTTATTCATGATCTCGAAGTTATGGAAAAGGAACCTTTGGGGTCTCTCTGGAGCTCTCTACATATGTCTACAGCACAGAACAGACTGGGGTACAGAGACATCTGAGCTAGAGAAGCCCTGAACCAATATTTTTTTTCCCCTTTTCTTTCTCAAATTTATGCAGATGCTTTTGAATCCATGCAAACTTTCAGGAGGTTTCAGGCCCTATCTTATTTTTCTAAATCCTTGTTCCCCACATCACTGCACGCAGCCTTACCAGCAAAACCTAACTCTGCTTGTACTGAGTAGCTCTTTGCAGGCAAAGCCAGTTTAAGCCTCCTTGCTTCCACTGATTTCCCAAGATCATCTCTGCCTTCTCCTTTGCCATGAAAAGCTGGGTACAGGGTACCCTAAGGTTTCTCTCCATTGTGTTGATTCAGGAAAAATAGCTGCGAAAATCCCAAGCACACCTAGAGCTGCACAAATAAATGTCTGTACAGAGGCTTAGCAGCAAGTGCTGCATCTGACAGGAGCGTGGACATTGCACAGATGCAGAGATCCATGAACTTCAGTCAATCCTCTAAGCCACCTGGACATTTACACAGTGGCACTGTGAGAACTGGTGAGTGATGACCAAGCCATAAGTTAGTACAAGTCTCGCAGATTTTCAGCCCATTTGGATCACCACCTTAGCAAACGCTCTTTACTACAGATCCTCCTTGCAAGGAGGAAATCTCTGCTCAGCAGCTCTGGAAAACGTACACAACGCTGAAACTTCCCCCAGGCTCACAAGGGCCGCACTGAGCCTGGACTGACCCTCAGTACCCCGGGGAGTTTCACCCGTGGGGATGTAATTTTTCATGCCCACAGAGCAGCTGTCCTCAGCAGAGACCTCCCCTCCCAGGTCCATGCAGCAGATGTTATGGTATTACTGGGAGCCCCAGCGGGAGCTCCGCATGCCTCGCTAGGGGCACCACGAGCTGCTGGCCTGTGCCCGAATGGAGAATTTTGATCATTTAACTGGAAAGAAGATCTCCATAGCAACAGAAGCAGGGAGAGACACTTCACTGCCAGGAAGGGGCGGGCTGGACCCCTCGATTAGCAGCCATAGCGTGGTTCGAATGCAGGTCTTGGTTCTGATTTCAACAGGCACTCCAAACCATATGATAAGCCAAAGAGACTTCTTTAATCCCAGTCCCTTCCTCATCACCATGGAAACCACACCCAGATCCAGGCATCCCGGAGGAACTGGATTTTTGCTGAATGAATGCGTTCTACACCGGAGTGCGCTCGTACAGTGACCACACTTGCCCTTTACCTAAAATCAACCCACCACTGAAAATACTTTGGCCTATTGACCTAAGACTCTCAGTACAAACATATAGATGTATTCAGACAAACTTTTCACAGCTGAGCTGCTAACATTTGCTTTATAGTTGTTATAAATCCTGCCGAGGTGATATGTCCAAACAAGAACAAGGAGCTACCCTCTTTACTTTCTGCAAAAAGAAAGGCACGGCTACCTCCAAAATAGCGATGTTTTTCCCACAGACTGAGCAACTCATTCATTACAATACCAGGGTTACCATCTAAGTAACCCAGAGATATGCAGACTGAAGCTTTTCTTTGGTGTATCGCTCTGGAATAAGCAGAGGAGTGTCATTTTGTGAGTCCATTCAGTCCCTCAGTGCTGATAAAAATAAATACCCACCTTTTCCAGGTTAAGCTATCTAAATGTATTTCCTGAATAAAGGGGACGTGTTTAGCTCTTGAGAATAGGCAATTCCTTGAACTTCTGTCAAAAGAAGAAATATTCTCTTCTAAGTCACATGATGATGTGCGCGTGTTGGTTTTGCTACAGTCATTAGGTTTCTGCTGCAATTCTTATTAAAAGAGCTCCATAAATCTTTTTCTGTAGTTTCTAAGAATACAGCTCAAGCTTCCTCTCTAACAGACCATTCCTGAGGTTGATGTAAAGCTACAGTCTCTGTGCAAGTTGCCACGCTGTGATGCATGTCTGCACACAAGTGCAGAATGACAAACATATTTTCACTTCCTGACGGAATTTGCCGCTAAATATAGTAAGCCAACACGACAAAGAAGTTTTGCTTAGGAAGTAGGTGGTAATTATGTTTCAAAGACAACCACTGACTGGCAACGGGAGTTATAAGAAAATAGATTTCTAGTAGTGCAAGCCAAGGTTTTGTACTGATGTGAAAATTACAGGTAAAAAACAACATGAAAAACAATGCATTCAATTACATGATATCATCTTTGTTTTAGGATACAAAACAATTACCTAGCCTTACAAAGAATTAATCAGGATCTGGAGGATAAACTTTACAGAATGGTAAGTTATCATGTGAACTTTTTTTTATATTAAAGATATTTTTATGGTTCTTAAGTCATAGGACAAACGTGGCTGTCACAAAACCCTCTCATGCTCCAAATACGATATGCTTAAAAAAGATGTATGATTTTATCAGTAGCGTGATCTAGAGCTCAAGCTGTTTATGGCGGCATAGCTCCATCAATTTAAATGGAGATTGCACTGGTTGATGATCTGGCTGCGTAAATTGTACCTTTAAAATAATTCTGGTTAATTTAGTTAATAACTTCATGGGTTTTAAATATTTATGTTTTCATTAGGTAACAAATTTAAATAAGGTAATCCAAGGTTTTCTCATGTTTCTTAGATACTTTCACTCAGCTTTTATTAAGTGATTTAATAGAGCTTGGATGGTCTGACTTTTATATGCTGTCATAACTATCAATTTCAGCGTACTAATTTCCGATCTGCATGTGTCTGCAACTGAAATGTCAATGTCACTGTCACAGGCCAATTAGTAACTGAGTGAGGAAATCACCGCTCCATTTATGGGTTCCACATCTAGGACTAATACTACAAGACACGGCACCATTCATTCAAAATAGTTTGGTGTCGAAAAGAAAAGGCAGCGCCTTTAGTGGCCTGGCTCATTGCTAGTGCTGCTGGGACTTCGTACTCATGCTCAGGAGAAAATTTACAGAGAAATGTGAGGGTAATACTTAGAGAGGGAAGAACAAGAGTTTTGGACTTCCAAAGTTCTTTAGGTCATGAGCACAGCCTAAGCTGCTTCCTCCTCTCCCGGCTCAGTGCAGTCAGTCGTTCCCCGCTCCCCTTCCCCCCAGCCCCACACCCGGCACGGCCCGGGCAATCACAGGGCACAGGCATAAACATACAGCTTATGGGTCCGGGCAGAGTCCTGACGTACAGCTATAGGGACGCTGGGATAAGCCACGAGTCTCAGATGTGATATTTGCAGGGGTGGGCAGCTTGGAACGAGGAGAACAGATTATTGTGCTTTGAGAGTAAATAGGGACTACGGCAACATACTGGAGAGACACCAGCCTTTGCTAAGAAACAGGAAAAAAAAATTTTAAATGTCATCGTTCTTATCTCAGGAGTCTGTTTAAATAGCTGACGATGGATAGAGTACTGATGCTTTTGTAAGTGGCTAACAACAGGGCAAAGTTACAGCTGGGTTATAGCTATGTTTGTTCATAAATATATGTATAAACACTGTACAAGCATGAGTAACATTTGATCTCATGATACTGTTTTGTTTTTTTCTCCACTCTTCCTTTGTTATATTCTTTTTCCTTTTACACAAATCACTTTGGGATTTTATCTTCATCTGTGACCTAATATTTATTACATATACGCAACAAAAGATAAATAAAGTAGAGGCATTCTGACTGGTAAATGAAATAAAAAGATTAGAAACATAGGAAGAAGGACTCCAGAAAATCCATGCTTTTTTATCTGGTATTTCAGATCAAAGCAAAGAATTTTTAAACCGCTGTTTCAGCATCCACTTCAAATCCTGAGCAATGATTTCAGAGCGCAGCACAGAAAGAAGGGAGACTGGTTCTATGGAGCACTGTACTTTTCTTTATCTCACTAATATGAAAGTCACTGAAGGTAGCTTTAGAGGCTCGAAGAAGATCAACCAGGATCTGGGCACCACTTAACTCCAGGCTGCTTTGCCTTCTGAAACTGAAGACACAAAACAAAACCAAACAAATATCAAATGGTAACTCTATTAAAGGCAAAAAGATGAGGAAAATAGTACCATATTTGAGTGAGATAAGCCAAATCATTTGATTTTCAGGGCACTCCAAAATCCCTCAATACTTCAGAGAAAGTTGGATTAAATAACAGCTGGTCTGGTTAATCAACAGCTTATGGTGGACTGGGCTCTTGGATACCTTTCTCTCCCTTTCCTGCTTAGGAGGAACAGCTGTGTTTATTTTTTTGTCTAATTTAGTCAGTTTGTCATTCCAAAAATCAAAAGCTTTTGATTTCTCTACCTTTATAAAAATCCAAATACATAAACCATGTGTTTACTTTCTCCCTCTGTCCCTTACCCCATTCCTCTATATACACACATATATGTGTAAACACACACACACGTAGAGACACTCAGATTCTTACACTTTTTGATGGCTTAATATGTCCAATTGCAACAAGTAGGGAAAAGAAGACCCCTGGGGCAGTGGTGTCTCACTCCCCCTGCCTGCAGGTTACCTGGGATGCTCCCAGGAGACCACTTTCTCCCTGGACTTACATGTGACCCACAACTCCCCCCTCTCCCTGTGAGTGGCCCCAGCTCATCACAACTAATCTAGGATTCCACCTTGGCCTCCCTCTTCTAATGTTTTTGGGTATCTTGAACGTTGAAGCCTTTCATGCCTGCTATTGGTATAAGGGATGTAAAAAAATAATCATTAATTCATCAGCAGTCACAGAAAAGAAGCTGAAGTAGCAGTTATTTTTCTTCTAGACCCTGCTTCCTTTTGAGTGCTAATCTATAAAATATTTAAAAATATTTGAAAGCACACTTTTGATCACAGCAAATGGTATCCAATTGAAACCTCTGTCACATCAGAACTCAAAATAAAAGTATAAAATATAAACCACAGTGTCTGTGTTAGCTAAGAGCTAAAAAATGCAATCCTGAAATCGGGGGAGAGTTTGCTGTATTAAACTGGGCAAGACTAAACACATGGCACAGTACAGGCAGATGCAACACAGAACTAAAATTCTGCTGTCACCGCTCATAAAGCTCCTGTTCTTACCACAGTTGGGGAGATTTGTTTGGTCTTGTAAGCACTGCTTAAGCAGGGGAATATACACGCTGTCTTCTTAAATAATTAAGCTTTATAACTCTTTTTTTTCCACTAAGATGTGGGAAAAGACTAAGCAGAGTCCTTAAATTTTGCACAACGATTCCATCACAGGACTACACAATTAAAGAACTTTTTATAATATTCCAGTTGTCACCAGTAGTCTTCACTTTCCCTTACACTTATCTGAGTTTCCCGAGGATGCTTTGCCATGGTCTTGCTGCTCACAAGCAGCAATTACAAGTAGGTTATGCGAGTCATCCCAACCACATGTTAAGAAATCCTTGATATGATCTCAATCCAACTGTATCCCCCATTCAATCCTCACTGGAATTAAGCAATGAATTTTAAAAAGCTTCTGAATTTTTAAGGCTTTCAGTTGCAGCCAGTTCTGTAATTTTACCTTTAAAGCCATAAGCCAGATTTTTAATGATATCTACATTTGGGAAGAACTGATACCTAACAATAGCTGCTTAATAAGCCCAACTGCTAATGAAAATCACAAATTTCACCCATCTGCATTTTGAATGTTCTTGAAAACTTGATCACAGAAATCCAGCTACAAAGAGGTCATGAGACTTTATTCTCCAGAAACACCCTAAAATATGTCTTTTGTAACTAGAAAGTAACAGTTTGACAGACAGACTGCTCGATGGTATAAGCAAGCATGCAAAGTCCTTCAAGAGGCCAGAATGTAAACCTCTGCTCGGTCTAGACTGCATACTATCCATATCTAACAAATAAACAGGCAGCATCAGAGGTGGACATGGAAGGTGACAGCCCAATGGTTAGGAACAGAGCCCTCTGATGAGCAGGGGAACAAGCAGATAAATCAATGCACCCACTTCATAAGCCCTTACTCCCACATACCCCTTGGCCTGCCAACCCATCTCCCTCAAGCCTGCTGCCAAACAGAAAGCTCTGGTTCTTCAAAGTGTCGTCCCCCATCCTGTTGGGTTTGGTTGCTCTTTCTAAGGAATAAAATTGCTTTCTTCTTCCTCAGTGCCAGCTCAGGACCTTTTGGTAGCATAGGCAATACTGAATGCTGTCAGACATCAAGGAGGTGACGGCTCTGCAGCGTAGGAGATACTGGGCACCGGCTCTGCCAGCCCTGCTGGGCTCCCCAGAGCAGCCCCAGCCACTGGGGCTTTGGTTCCCCGCTCTGCAAAGCCAGCATCATCCCTCTGCACACAGTGCGTTATACATTTTATCACCTGTCAAGATGAAAATTGTTACATTACATTAATGCTTGATTTTTCATTTACATTAAGGCAGGCTCGGCGGTGTGACTCAGCTTCAAATTTGAAGAGTTTATTACACAAACCAGTAGTAAAGAGGGATTTGTGTTAAGGACGATCAGGTCTGAAACGCTGCTCTGTCTGAGCACTGCACTGATTTTTATCCTGTTTCTTCCTCTGCCTATGAGCTGGCGGAGGACTTAGAAGTACAGCAAATACTTTACGCTTTATGTTATTAAAAGTTATTTATCCAGCTCTTGAATATCTGGAGTTTTCCAGTCTGCTGGCCATAATATATACCTAAACATCTCCAGCCAGGGAAATCCAAAGATGAATTAAATATGAGCTGGGCAATTTTAAGTGATGCTCTCAGACTTTGTGTCAGGGGAATGTTATTTTAAAGGAAGCAGCTTGCTGGGTGTCCAGTCCAGGAAGGTAAAGAATATGGAAAGTGGTGAGGAATTTGATGAAGAAATTCAGTCAGGCATTTAAAGCATCTAACTACCAGGTCAAGCCCAGCGCTTTGGCTTTGGAATATAAACCAGTCAATCACTAGATTGCACCTGAGACTCCCATGACAGCTACCAGTCACTGCCCAATATGGTTTAAATCATAAGTGAAAGTTTCAGGCAATGAAGAAAAAGCCTATTATTTCTGACACAAACCTAAGGAACGAAGAAGTGCAGCACGTTTAGTTTTCTGCATGGAACATGACGATGTTGACAGTGACTTTGAATGGAGTGATTTAAAGCACATCTTTTTCATTTTCTTTCCTTTATGAAGAATAACTTGGTGTGTGTGTCCCCCCGCCCCCCCCCCCGGTATGTCCCATGAAAATCAAATAGAGATGACCTAAATATACTTTAAAGGATTTGCATCCCAAAGACAAGAAAAGTTTAGAGTCAGCTCAACCTGACAGGCTCATTTTCTCACATTCAGTGAA